TGTAAAAATGATGGTAAACTTGTTATCATGTATTGTGTAATAAAGTGTCAAAAATGGAAATAAACTCATATCATTGCAGTTTGTCAGATTCAATCATTCACTATGTTCAGAATCTCAGAATGGAGGAAATTGGATATTTAACACTATTCTATTGATATTTTTTCCATCTCATCAATTTTCTTAGTTGATCATATAAAAATTGCAGTAAACTGTTTATTTTGTTTTATGTTAAAAAAAAGTGTTAAAAATGGAAATAAACCCATGTCAGAACAGTGCTGTCTTGTTTTATGATACTGTGGGTGAAAAGTTAACAGAAAAGCCAGAACTCTTTTAGGAAGATTCTATATAAGCTCTCATCAAGAGGTTTCCCACTATCCCCAGTTCATTTGACTAATGAGATGCAGTGACCTAGAAATGTGCAACTAAAGACTGTTGCTAAGAGTGGAGAGATTAACAGAAAAGCCAGAACTCTCTTAGGAAGATTCTCATCAGGAGGTTTCCCACAATCCCCAGTTCATTTGACTAATGAGATGCAGTGACCTAGAAATGTGCAACAAGAGACTTTGTGAAGGAGGCAATAGGTTTACAGAAGAAGCTTGGTAAGTTGTTAATTTTAGTTTAATGTTAGTATTTAAGAGGAGTTATTTATACTGCTATCAGAAACAATTAAGGAGCAAAAATAAAGCAAAAAATCCTAATCAACAGTTGAAAAAATCATACATACATAACATCAGACACTGAAGATGTTTATGTCAAATCTGTATCCTAAAGCTCTATAGTATTTGAAACTGTGCATAACTTTTAGAGATGTGCATCAGCACTATTCACGACTAAAGAAAGTTAAGAATAGCTATGTGAAAAATCTCATTAAATGGTAATGGTGTCTTGCTTGTCTGAATTGATGCCACATTTCTTTATTGGGGAGAATTTGCCTTTTATTGATTCAGAGGATAATGCATTTGTTTTATGGTGTTGAACAGCATGTGTACTTTGCTCCAAAAGGGGGTCAAGGGTTATCCTGTGTTACAGTACTAGTAAGTACTAACATTACTGGTGATATTTTAATATACTTGTAGTAACCATAGTTTCTTCTCAACATATTGTGGCTGATAAAAAGTGAAGGAGTATGTTTGTGATATAAAGAGCATCAATCCTAGATTGAATAATTGTAAGTTGAATTTATATAATATTATATTTCTTCTAGCTCACAGTTGAAGTTAGAAGCAATTCAGTTGAAGCACAGATTAATAAGTGTGGCAATAGAATGTAAGTATCGTTTGTTTTAAATCATTGGCATTTAAGTCTCACGATCATCAAAATACCAGAAATATGCATTTGATGTAGATAGCTAAATACTAGAATTCAAGTATATAGAAAAGGCAATACTTTAACATCTAGGCAGATACTAAATTGCAGGCAGTATGTGGGTTGGTTATTGAAGCAACAGAATAGATGGACCACTGACAAGCAGATCCATCCACTAAATATGTTAAATTCCTAAACGGTCTTCTTGCCCCCACACGCCACAACTGCAGGAGCCTAATAATTAAACTTGGACATGAGGTTAAATCGGTTTAAGGGCACATATGGAGGTGGTGAGACCTTCAGGATTCAGAGCTATCACTTTTAAAGTGGGGTCAGCCCTATTTAGTTGGCGGATCATCTGGTTTTGAATGGCACCTACAGTATATATTTATTAACATTGCACCATATATTTCAATATCTTCAATATCATCTATTTTTTATTATTGACTCTATTGATCATATTCTGTTCATTTTACCTCTGTAAAATCTACTGAACATTTTATATGGATTTTAGACTGTAAATAAATATTACTATTATTAATATTATTATTATTATATGCTATATATTTTTTGAGTAACCATAGTTTCTTCTCAACAATGTGGAGCTGATCAAAAGTAAAGGAATATGTTTGTGATATAAAGAGCATCAATGCTAGATTAAATAATAGTCAATTGAGTTTATATAATATTTTATTTTTTCCAGTTCCCAGTTGAAGTTACTCATTCAGTCAGTTACCCACTCAGTCAATTGCACCTTGTCAGGATAATTAGTGTGGCAATAAAATGTAAGTATTGTTTCAGATACTTTTCATTTAAGTCTCAAGATCATCTAAGTACCAGCAATGTGCACTTGATATAGATAGCTACTAGCAGCCAAGTACATACTGAGGCAATACTTTTGGATAGGTAAATACTTAATTGTTGGCAATATGTGGGTTGGTTATTGAAACAACAGAATAGAGGGACCACTGACAAGCAGATCCATCCACTAAATATGTTTTACCCCACTTCAAAAGCCATGTCATTTATTCCTTAACGGTCTTCTTTCCCCCACACACGCCACAACTGCAGGGGCCTAATAATTAAACCCAGACACGTGGTTAAATCCATTTAAGGGCACATGTGGAGGATGTGAGACCTTCGGGATTCAGCGCTATCACTTTTAAAGTGGGGTCAGCCCTATTTAGTTGGCAGATCTGCTAGTTGGCGAATCATCTTGTTTTGAATGGGACCTACAGTATATATTTATTTACATTGCACCATATATTTCAATATCTTTAAGTTTATATCATAACTGTCTATTTTTTATTATGGACTCTATTGGTCATATTCTGTTCATTTTACCTTTGTAAAATCTACTGAAAATTTTATGTATGGATTTTAGACTGTAAATAAATATTATTATTATTATTATTATATGCTATATATTTTTTGAGTAACCATAGTTTCTTCTCAACAATGTGGAGCTGATCAAAAGTAAAGGAATATGTTTCTGATATAAAGAGCATCAATGCTAGATTAAATAATAGTCAATTGAGTTTATATAATATTTTATTTTTTCCAGTTCCCAGTTGAAGTTACTCATTCAGTCAGTTACTCAGTCAGCCAATTGCATCTTGTCAGGATAATTAGTGTATCAATAGAATGTAAGTATTGTTTTAGATACTTGTCATTTAAATCTCAAAATCATCTAAGTACCAGCAGTGTGCACTTTATATTGATAGCTAGTAGCAGGTAAGTACATACCGAGGCAATACTTTTACATAGGTAGATAATTAATTGTTGGCAGTATGTGGGTTGGTTATTGAAGCAACAGAATAGATGGTCCACCATAGTTCAATATCTTTACAGTGTTTCCCCTGGCTTTCAAGCTCTGCCAGGTGGTAGTCAGTCCGCGTTCCCAGCAAAACTAGGTCTATAAATTGTTCTATTCAGTCATGGAAATTCATATTCAATACATGGGTTTCCACGCGAAATACTGACTTGACCCAGTTGTACAACCGACTGCTTTCATATAACTAAACCGTAAATCAATAGAAAATCTTCTCCAAGTTTATAAAATCAACAAAGTCCACTTAATTTGCTCCATTTTTATCAGTGAATATATGCAAACTATAAAAACAGAAAACAGGTGGTCTGAATTTCGGAACATGAAGTGACAGAGAAAGTGTGTTCTTGACATGTGACTAAATGTTGTCGGGAACAGTTGCCTCGTTTCGCTCTGTCTCGTATATTTCAAATAAGGCACAGAACTGCGAAAACCAGGCACTCACAGGAAGATATTAACTGGTGGTTTTTAGGCTTCTGCGTATGCGTATTTCAGTTACTACTAAATCAAGTGCTCAGAAACATGGGATTACATATGTAAACAGAATGCCATATATATATATATATATATATATATATATATATATATATATATATTTGCTATAGAAATAAATATAATTTTCAGTTAGCATGAGTGAAAGTATACTTTTGTTGTTACATTCAGCCCAGCGAGGCAATGCTTTTGACAAATTTCAGCGAGGCAGGCGTCTCACTCATTTAAGTGCAGGGGAAACACTGCTTTATATCTTAACTGTCTATTTTTTATTATTGACTTTATTGATCATATTCTGTTCATTTTACCTCTGTAAAATCTACTGAACATTTTATATATGGATTTTAGACTAAATAAATATTATTATTATTATTATTATATGCTATATATTTTTTGAGTAACCATAGTTTCTTTTCAGCAATGTGGAGCTTATCAAAAGTAAAGGAATATGTTTCTGATATAAAGAGCATCAATGCTAGACTGTAAATAAATATTATTATGAGTACCACCAGCGTGTACGCTGGCGGTACTCATGGTTTTAGTCCCGACCCGTCTCGTACAGCTTCACCGGCTCTGCCGGCTCCTGCGGCTACACAGTCGGGCGCCGGAAACAAGTCACTGTTACCGCTTCTCCTCCTAGACCGCAAGGACCTGTGCCCCCATCTCTTGGATTTAGGTCACATATAATCTCAACTTGAACACCCTGGTTTTTTTGTCTCCGTCGGTGCACTGGCCTGGGTGTGACACTTGTTGAAATGCACCCTTGTCAAAATTTTTGAAAATTCAATGCTAAATATCTCCCAAACCAAAGGAATTATGGGAAAAATTACTACTGAAGTCTGACCGAAAGTCATACGTGGAGTTTCCAAATATGCCCTTGGATTTGACTTTTGACCTTTTTTTCAAGGTCAAACAAGCCAAAATTATTTAAAAATGGGAATTTTATGTAAAAAAATATTTGTTTGTGCTAATTTTTGGAAACTATGCAGCCCTAAGCTCTCCTGTTATAGTGAGGGGTTACCATTGGGGACTCCTTTCATCTTTGAGAGTTTGGGGTCAATCGGTGCATTTTCACGGGAGAAGCAGCCATTAGATACCGAAACTGAAAACTTGCTCTAAATCTGGAACGGTAAATGCCAGAGACCTCTTTTTTATTGCATTTTGTAGACCTTGTCAAATGCAATACTGGGGGTGGTGTCCATTTTTTGTTTTTGATATGGTTTAGGCGTTGCCCTATATCAAAAATTACAACATTGCAATATTCAGTGGGGAAAATGTGAAATACTCCAAAATTAGCAGAGATACGCCCATAGTTACTATTGAACTTGAATAGGAAGTCATATACTGGTAATCTAACTGTGACGTTGAAATTGACCTTTGACCTACTTTTCATGATGAACTGAACTTTGCACATTTTTCAACCCTTATATCTCCAAAACTGGCAAAGATACGCCCATAGTTACTATTGAACTTGAATAGGAAGTCATATACTGGCAATCTAAATATGAACCTGAAATTGACCTTTGACCTACTTTTCACCATGAACTGAACTTTGCACACTTTTCAACCCTTATATCTCCAAAACTGGCAAAGATACGCCCATAGTTACTATTGAACTTGAATAGGAAGTCATATACTGGCAATCTAAATATGAACCTGAAATTGACCATATTTTCTTGCCTCTCATATCTTCAAAACTAGCAGAGATCTGCCCACTGTTGTTCCTAGGTTTTCTCTTTTGTCAGCAAATATGCAATACTGATAACGCATTTCAAGGAAAACCAATGNACTTGAATAGGAAGTCATATACTGGCAATCTAAATATGAACCTGAAATTGACCATATTTTCTTGCCTCTCATATCTTCAAAACTAGCAGAGATCTGCCCACTGTTGTTCCTAGGTTTTCTCTTTTGTCAGCAAATATGCAATACTGATAACGCATTTCAAGGAAAACCAATGGGCCTATTGTCTAGAAAATCACAGGAGTGATCAGTGTTAGGAAAATACAGCTCAATTTGAACATCTGCTTGATTTGAACAGTTATGTTTGTTCGATTTTTTTTTTTTTTTTTTGCATATTTTGAGAACTCTTGTTTATTGCATTTTATAGAGCTTGTCAAGCTCAAGACTGGTGGTGGTGTTCATTTTTTGGGGGTGGGGTTTCCATGAGAATGCGCTTACTCCAGCTGGTGGTACAATATCCAGAGGCGGTATTGCCTCTCTGATCCTCTAGTTATTATTATTATTATTATATGGCGCTATATTTTTTTGAGTAACCATAGTTTCTTCTCAACAATGTGGAGCTGATCAAAAGTAAAGGAATATTTCTGTGATATTAAGAGCATCAATGCTAGATTAAATAGTCAATTGAGTTTATATGATATTTTATTTCTTCCAGTTCCCAGTTGAAGTTACTCATTCAGTCAGTTACCCACTCAGTCAATTGCACCTTGTCAGGATAATTAGTGTGGCAATAGAATGTAAGTATTGTTTTAGATACTTGTCATTTAAGTCTCAAGATCATCTAAGTACCAGCAATGTGCACTTTATATAGATAGCTACTAGCAGCCAAGTACATACTGAAGCAATACTTTTGGATAGGTAGATACTTAATTGTTGGCAATATGTGGGTTGGTTATTGAAGCAACAGAATAGAGGGACCACTGACAAGCAGATCCATCCACGAAATATGTTTTACCCCACTTCAAAAGCTATGCCATTTATTCTTTAACGGTCTTCTTGCCCCCACACACGCCACCAGTGCAGGGGCCTAATAATAATTTAACCCCGACACGTGGTTAAATCCGTTTAAGGGCACATGTGGAGGATGTGAGACCTTCGGGATTCAGCGCTATCACTTTTAAAGTGGGGTCAGCCCTATTTAGTTGGCAGATCTGCTAGTTGGCGAATCATCTTGTTTTGAATGGGACCTACAGTATATATTTATTTACATTGCACCATATATTTCAATATCTTTAAGTTTATATCATAACTATTCTTTATTATTGACTCTATTGATCATATTCTGTTCATTTTACCTCTGTAAAATCTACTGAACATTTTATATATGGATTTTAGACTGTAAATAAATATTGTTATTATTATATGCTATATATTTTTTGATTGAACATAGTTTCTTCTCAGCAATGTGGAGCTTATCAAAAGTAAAGGAATATGTTTCTGATATAAAGAGCATCAATGCTAGATTGAGTTTATATAATATTCTATTTCTTCCAGTTCTCAGTTGAAGTTACTCAGTCAGTCAGTTACTCAGTCAGCTAATTGCACTTTGTCAGGATAATTATTTTGGCAATACAATGTAAGTATGTTTTTTTTTTCTTTTTTTTTTTTTCTTTTTTTACCTTAGCTTTTATTATATATATGATTAGTTGATAATTTTACCTGTAAACAGCACTGAGACGCTAGTGTAGTGCGGTTTTAAGAAATAAATATTATTATATTATTATTATAAGTATTGTTTTAGATACTTGTCATTTAAGTTTCAAGATCATCTAAGTACCAGCAATGTGCACTTGATATAGATAGCTACTAGCAGCCAAGTACATACTGAGGCAATACTTTAAGATAGGTAGATACTTAATTGTTGGCAATATGTGGGTTGGTTATTTTGAAACATCAAGCCTTTATGGCAATTTTTATAACTTAAATATAATACTGTATTGCACCTTGTCAGGATAATTATTGTGGCAATAGAATGTAAGTATTGTTTTAGATACTTGTCATTTAAGTCTCAAGATCATCTAAGTACCAGCAATGTGCACTTTATATAGATAGCTACTAGCAGCCAAGTACATACTGAGGCAATACTTTAAGATAGGTAGATACTTAATTGTTGGCAATATGTGGGTTGGTTATTTTGAAACATCAAGCCTTTATGGCAATTTTTATAACTTAAATATAATACTGTTGTATACTTTCCTGAAATCTGAAATGTCAGTTTCCACTGATTGGTTTCTGCAAATATGAAAAAAGGCTCAAAAAGTTTGCACCATTTTTGTTCATGACTGACTGTTCACATTTGAAGGTTGCTTTTGAATACATAATAGACCCTTAATTAGTTCATCTGTCTAAAATGTGCAATTTACAGGTGTTTGGTACAGAAATGGGGACCAGATTAGTGTTGGGCTGAATTAACTTGTCATCCAGAGCATCAATGAGCATATTGAACACTGTTGTACTAAGAGTATCACCTACAGAGTATCACCTAGATCCCTACAGAGGGAATGAGTTACTAGTAGCAGCCCTTTTATAAATAAAAATATCCTTTTAATTTAGTGCGCATTTACTTCATAGTATGATTGTCAAAGGTAACCATCAATACCACACTTGAGCATCTTATAGACAAGACCAGTTATTTTTCCCTCTCCATATAAAAAGGTACTGTTTGGTTAATAAATGGATTAAGCTTCCAAGCAGAGACTTCCCAGCATTTATCCAAGTCAGCTAAAGATAACTTATTATGAATATTCCCTTTGAAGATTAATTACAATGTTTACATTCATCATAAGGAGATCAACAATTTTAATATTTCTTATATAATAAGAATATTTCTTAATGAATGGATCAATGTTCATTTAATAACCCATACAAGTAGCTCTTTTGTTAACTGTTCTTCACCTTTTATAACTTCTGTGCAGCAATCTTTTTTTTAAACTGGTGTCACTTTATCCTTGTTTTACTTTTGACATGTTTCAATGTGCAAATTGTGACTGCTGATTTTATATCTTTTGACTAAAATAATAAATACTTACATTAATCAAATGTACCAAGTTCCCTTATCCATGTTTTGTTCTAGCAATTAGGTTGTAATTTAGTTACTTTGTAAAAATCCATCCAGGTATTTACAGATATTCTGTATATAATGAAGTGTTATGTAATATTGCACTTCTTTTTCCGTAGCTGTGGCTTACTAATTTCACTTGTTTTCTGACAACTTGATAATAACAAATCAATTCATATTTAAAAAGAGTAGCTTAAAGCAGGTATGAACATGTTCCAAAAGTCCCTTTTTTCTTCTGTCTTTTCTTTTTCAATTTAACCTTAATAACTAAAAAAACCTTAAATAATATATTTTTTAGCATACCTGATGCTCTTAGTTTACATTTCTGAGCTTTGGCATCTTAAGACAAATAAAACTACAAGACTCAATATAAACCTGCTCAATGCTGAAAGTAGAAACTGGGCTATTATTATTATTATTATTATTNGTTATTATTATTATTATGTGTAGTTGTGTAATCTGTAATGACAGAAATATGCTGGGCACAACAAATATTATGCTCTGCAAGGAATCCAATATTAGATTATTCTGACTCATTTAAAATGGAATAAAACATTGAATCTAAGGATCCGTTCTCATTAAAAATCCAAATTTCAAAAATCCAAAAATCCATTGGAGGTATCTAGTATTTACAGTCTGTGTCCTGAATACCCCGTGTTATAATTAACTTGCATTTTATAAAACAACACCAAAAGGCATATGTGAATACATTCTTCTGTCTGCTTTCTCTGCTGTATATAAATGGGACTGATAAATATTAGTAGGTTAGATAAGTAGTCCAAATTAACCATCAGTTTAAATGAGATAGTTTAAGGCTCTTTTATTGTTGATGAAGTGATTAATTTGTTTTGTCCATTGGCATGTCAACTTCATTTCTGTTATACAAGTAACTAGTAGAGGTGGATTACATGTATTACTGGGGATGCACACTCCATCGGCATGTACCTTTAATTACAGAATCAACACATCAGTAAATGATGTTTTTGTTTGATAATGTTTTATTTTCACTGCACTTGTTAATCTTGGTACTTTGTTAAGGGCCTCTTAAGCAGTTGCACTCGAAAGAAACTTTTTACAACTCTCTCAGTTTCTATTATAGTTTGCCCCTTCCAACCATCTTGATGGATATGTATAACTTTTAGCCAATAAATATGTATTTTTTTATATTTCTAGATGCCTAAGTTGAAAAAACAAAGCATGGTCCAAAGAAGGGCACATCAGAAGAAGTTGATCGAGAAAAGTCGCAAGAGGGTGACTAAGGATGCCACGTCTACTATTGTGCCTGCTTCGGCAGGCACGCCCACCTCGGTGGGCTCTGTGAAAAACTGTGAAATTACTGTGAAAAACTGTGAAATTACTGTGAAAAACTGTGAAATTACTGAGAAAAGCAGTGAAATTACTGATAAAAGCAGTGAAATTACTGAAAAAAACCGTGAAATTACTGAAAATACTGAGATTACACAAATTACTGAAAAAAACAGTGAATTTACTGAAAAAAACAGTGAAATTACTGAAATCACTGAAAAAGGTGAAAATACTGCAATTACTGAAAACACTGAATTTCCTGAACACACTGAGATGCCCATTGCTTCAGATGTTACTGTTCATGCAGCTTATACAGATGCTTCAGATAAGACAGATGCCACAGTTGACACAGCCTATCCTGTCAGTTTGAGTGCCACTGGTCATTCAAGTAAGTCTATAATATATTCAGACCATTTTTCACCATCATATAAGTCTGTAAAATCTAACATGCCAGTCAACCCAAAGCTATCAACGGCACCCCACAAATTAAAGAAAAAATCACAACAATCAGTAGTTTTTCCTGAAATTCAAAAAAATGAACCCAATATGGTAACATTAAAAACATCCTTAAAACCTTTGGAAAAAAGTGTTCAATATTCAAAAATGGGTTCAATGAAGAAGGCACCATTAACAAAACACACTGGTAAAACCATTACCTCTGATTCTATTTCATCCATTTTTGATAAAACAAATTTGCACAAACCCCATTTGAAAAGACTACATGATGAAATGAAGAGGCAGTTAAAATGGACAGAAGACAAACAACAAAGCAAAATTGACGCAGTGAATAAATCTCTTTTGGATACCTCACTTACGGGAACCAGTAGCACTGACAGAAATATTTTGAAAAGAGAGAAAAATAAAATCAGGATGCAACGTCTTAGATCTGATCCACAGTACAGGAAAGCTGAACAAAATGCTCAAAGAATAACACGTTCTCAGTCCCATGTGAAAAAGAAAATTCAAAAACACAGACACTTGAAAAGGTCTGATCCAGAGTACAGAAAAAACGAACAACAATCTCAGAGACTAAAACGTTCTCAGGTCGATGAGAAGAGCAAAATTTTAAAGTACAATCAGTTGAAAAGGTCTGATCCACAGTATAGGAAAAGTGAACAAGAATCTCACAGACTAAAACGTTCTCAGGTCGATGAGAAGAGCAAAATTTTAAAGTACAATCAGTTGAAAAGGTCTGATCCACAGTATAGGAAAAGTGAACAAGAATCTCAGAGACTAAAACGTTCTCAGGTCGATGAGAAGAGCAAAATTTTAAAGTACAATCAGTTGAGAAGGTCTGATCCACATTATAGGAAAAAGGAACAAGAATCTCACAGACTAAAACGTTCTCAGGTCGATGAGAAGAGCAAAATTTTAAAGTACAATCAGTTGAGAAGGTCTGATCCACAGTATAGGAAAAAGGAACAAGAATCTCAGAGACTAAAACGTTCTCAGGTCGATGAGAAGAGCAAAATTTTAAAGTACAATCAGTTGAAAAGGTCTGATCCACAGTATAGGAAAAAGGAACAAGAATCTCAGAGACTAAAACGCTCTCAGTCTGATATGAAGACCAAAATTCTGAAACACAAGCACTTGAAAAGGTCTGATCCTTATTACAAAGTAACTGAGAGAAGTAAAAAAAGGTTAAAAAGATCTGATCCAGAATTCAGAAAACACGAAAGAAAATCTGATTCATTTGCTAAATGTAATAAGAGACAGAAAATCAATACCAATCTTCAACAGTTAATACAACAATTCCACAAAAAAGTTGCTGAAGGTTGTACTTACACATGTTGTATATGTCAACAACTTTGGTACAGACATACTGTGATAAATTCAGAGTCTATCATGAATTTAGAAAATAATGCAGTTAAACATTGCAAAGAAACTGGTGATTTATTTGACAGTAATTGGATATGTTTAACATGCTCTTCTCATTTGAAAAAGAACAAAATTCCTCCATGTGCTATGGTGAACGGCCTGTCGTTTCCAGAAAAACCCAGCTTCTTGGATTTAAAACCTTTAGAGTGGAGATTAACTAGCCCAAGGTTAGTTTTCATGAAGCTTCAACAAGCTCCACGTGGAAAACAATACAAATTAGAAGGAAATGTTGTAAATATACCAGCAGATGTTACATCCACTGTAACAAAGTTACCAAGAACTGAGGCAGATAGTTCTACAATTAAAGTTCAGCTCAAAAGAAATGTGAAATTTAAAAATTATGCATATGCTCAGAATGTAAGACCTAACAAAGTACTTGAAGCTGCAGCTTGGTTAACTGCAAATGGAAAATTATATCAAGAAAAGGGAATAACTGTAGACACAACATGGAAATTAGCAGAGAATCCCTGCAGCTCTGACACATTTGAACAAACAAAAAAAGAGCATACAACTGTTAATAACTTGAGTGAGGAACAAATGCAAAACTTACTGAAAGAAT